AAGATATATGCACACCCATGTTTATTGCGGCTTTGTTCATGATAGCAAGGAGTTGGAAGTAACCTAAGTGCCCATCAACAAACGAATGGATAGAGAAGCAGTGGTATATTCACACAATGGAATACTATGCTGCATTGAAAAACAAGGAACTCATGCAATATTATTCAAAATGGGTGAACCCTGAAGGACATTATGCTGAGTGAAATGTCTCAGTCACAAAGGGACAAATAATGCATCGTGCCACTGTTGTAAAATAGGATTGATATCGGGGGTAGGGGGAGACTGAGAAAGATGGGATAAACAATGTATACCTCATTGAAACAGATGTGGGAGAAAACTGTTTAAAAGGGATATATGATTAGGTACTATTGTCATGACAGGAGTCCAGAACGAAGTCTGCATAGTGGAGTGGACCAGGGGGAGGAATTATAAAATAATGGGGGAACTTTTCTTTTACTTTTCAAAGAGAAGAGTATACTAGGGTGGGATGGGGAGAAAAGTGCAACAATGAATGAATGAATGAATGAATGGAAATCCAAAGTCTGTAAATTTTCATTAAAATTAATTTAAAACATGATTAAAAAAAAAGAATGGACTGGCGAAGGAGCAAACAGATACATCTTTGAGAATGGGCAGCTAGAGTGTTCCTTAGAGGCAAAGATGGTGATGATAATCGCTCATACTTTGGACGTGTTGCTAGGAGAGGCCATTCCTTAGAAAGGGACATCATGTTTGGAAAAGTGGGGGGAGGAAGGTGCAAAGAAGTAGAAGACTCAAAAAGACAGATTGACAGTGAGTGCTGCAAAGGGCTCAAGTATGTCAGAAATTATGAAGGTGACACATGATAGGACAAGGTTCAAATCTGTTCACATCTGTTGTTCAGTCACTACAAATCATACTCAACTTGACAGTGCCTAACAACAACAATCTGTGCAGAAAGTATCTAAAGTATGTCTTACCTACACTTAGCATCCCAGCTTTCTAACTCTTAGCTTCACAAACTCACATATACACACACATAAACATAACCCACAACATCATGTAAACTCACATATGCTAGCACAATAACTAAGAAACCAGTTCATTTAGAGTGTTACTTTTGCATATTTCATGTTTAAGTAAATGGCCTTGGCTTTTAGTACACGAGTTCCTGATACCAATAAAAAAAGAAAAATCAAGTTAGAATGGCCTTTGTTGCTGCCAGTTCCAACAGTAATGTAAGATTTCAGATTAAAGCGTAATTATTTGAAGCACATGTGTAAATGGAGGTAAGGACTAAGTGATATTTTTATTTTCAAGACTTGCCCACAGCCTTGGTTGCTTCAATCTCAAGTTAAAGGAGAATAGAACAAACTTTTAATATCATATTTAAGTGTTATCTGCTAGACTCAGCAAATGAAAATGCAAAACATTAACTTTAAATTGAATTTCATATAAACAACACATAATTTTTTAGCATAAATAACCCAGTAGGTATCCTGTATTTTATCTGGTAACTTGACATTCAATAGTTTAGTGTTCTATCAGTGCAGTAACTTGGTTAGGTTTATTGTGAATATCAGTGATTAATGTTAACAACATAACACAAAGCAAAAGCAATAGAATTCATTCTTATTGCTTGATGCCATACCATCCAGTCTATTTTTTATAAAAAGTATACACAATGGTACAGATTTGAGTCATGACAGTCTGGCCCAGAAGCTGAATGAAGACATCTGTTATTGTGCTTCTTGATTTCCCTGACTGAAGCCAGAGATCACACCATAAGACCAGGGATCCAAATACATTTTCCATGGCACAAAAAAGTCAAATCAAATCACTAAAAACTCGTTAAACCTTTCATCTTATTCATCCCAGATCCTTCCATGGAGATGTACATTTAAGTACAAGTATATATAACCTGGAAGCACTTGGATATTAGGAAATATCATTTTTTGGCTGTTGAGTAAATTATGAATAGACACAGCGAAGTGCCCTCCCCAGGTTGAGAGACAAGAGGTTGCTTCTCTGAAAACTGGGCATAACTTACCAACTGGCAGACTTTATTTTAAGAAAGTAATAAGACTAATACAATTCCACCTTCCAGAGCAGTTTATTACTTGCTGTTTCACTTTTGGTTATTTCACTGTAGTAAATAACTGTCAGAGGGTCCAAAGATTATATCTGCCTCCAGACAGTCCATTCATCATGCTTAGCATTTGTATTTCAACAGAGCTTTCCCACATATTTGCCAAAATGCTGCCAAAGCAATCACAGAAAATCTCCTGTCTTGATCTACCTAATGCCTTAAATAAAGTCAGTGGCTCTGATCTGGGTTTATTGGAATATTTTAATAACCCACCAATCTCTTTCATCTGAGAGTTTCTTATAACCACACTCTTAGCTCATAAATCCTTATTTGTTTTTAATTTTGTACCTTAAAAAGTGGACCTCAGCAGTTCAAACAAAGTTGTACTGAATTACCACATAATTTTTGTAAAAATGGCAAAGCCCTTAAAAATAATCAAATATTTGTTAAATCATAGTCAATACATGAGGATCACTGGTGGCCTGGTGAGAAGCAGCTATGCTGCAATCAGAAGGAATGCATTTCTAATCCACCAGCTGCACTGCAGGAAAAGGATGGGCAATTTAAATTTTAAGTTATAAAATTCCCAAAATGAGAAACTGGGACTGGGGGGAGAGGAAGCCACTGCCAAACCCTATATTGTATAAAATGCAAGTTTTCATTTGTGGAAGGTGAACAAAACTACTAAGCTAAAACTGTGCATAGCTAGCTGGCCAAGAGATCTAGGAGTAGGTGATCCAAATATTTTTCAATGCCAGTTGAAGTTAATGACCTAGTCAGTTTGTTCCAACTGTCCTCAGATGTAGTGTGTAAAACCAGCCATTTTAGGTAAATCTGGGGCACAGGGGCCTGCCTTCTACCTCCCTAGAGTTAAACATAGAACTGCCCAATATTTATATACCAATCTGTCATTTTAAAAAATATGGTCTTTTAAATGACGAGTGCAAAGTCCACATATTTTATGTCAGACCTAACTTTGGATTTACTTTTTCTCTTTCTATTCTTTGGGAAATGCCTGAACACAATGAAACTGGTCTCAGGAGCTTCCTCCACAGACAGTTCTTGGTCTCCAACTCCTGTGGCCTCTACCTCTCAACCAGAATCTCAACCTTTCTTTACTGAATCAAGAATCTTGTCTCTGACTGTTCAAAGTGCCACAGACCCAATGGCCATTGGCCCACCAGCATTAGTCCCAGGAATCACGTTGCCCACTGATGATCACTCTGCCACCAGTCCATCTGCTGTGGAAATTTCACATTCTCCTGCATTTTCAGAAGACAGTAAATTGAGTACAGATTACGAAGATACAGTCAGAGATGGAGAGGGAATGGCTCTGTCAGATGTTCTTGTCTCATCTGAAGTACCAAGATACATCGGGTATGTTTCTAGCCCAGATCATTTCTTGGAAGATACCACTCCTGTCCCCGTTTTACAGTACATCACTACTAGCTCTATGACCATAGCTGCCAAGGGCCAGGAGCTAGTCGTGTTCTTTAGTCTGCGTGTTGCCAACATGCCCTTCTCCGATGAATTGTTCAACAAGAGCTCTACAGAATACCAGGCTCTGGAGCAACGATTCACAAAGCTGGTGAGTAGGAATTGCTTGCCATCCTTTTCAAGACTTGTGTTTCCTTTGTTGTTTTGTGTTGTAATTATTAACTAGCTTAGATAATGCAACTTAGAAAAGGCAAGCTGCTGAGACTACTGTTGCTGAAGGCATCCAGTTAGAATTGAGATGGTCAGAAACACTCAAAAAGTGTGCGCTGTAAGGGAGGTTCAGCCTAATATAAACCAGCAGACCTAAGATCTCCTCGTGTGTGCTTCTTTATCATTTTATTGGTTGCAGTTGTTAGGTGGCATTGAATCAAGTGCAACTCAGAGCGACCAAAAGGCAACAAATCTGAACACTGTCCTACATGGTGCCATCCTTACCATTGACAAACTTTAGCCCATTGCCACAGACACTGTATCAATCAATTTTTTTTT